AAGAAACCAAAAATTGCCAAAGAAACCAAAATCTACGCGCATAAGGTCAACCTCAGATCCGTAGCAAATTCTTCCCGCCCGCCCACCCCCAAACCGTCTCGGCGTCCTGCGGCCCGGGTGGGGGGAGGGCGAGCTCGTTGTGCTTCCGTGGGGCGGAGGGGCCCCCGCGCGGCTGGGGCGGGGTCTTGAGCACCCACTCGGCGCTGGCCCGGGCCCGGCGTCCTCGCGCCTCTCTCGCTCCTGGTTCCCGTGGCTGGCACTGCCAAGGCGTGGGGGGCCCGCCTAGGGCACGGGGGGCGCAGTCCTGTCCGCCGCCCCATAGGGGAGGAGGTGGGCCAAGTCCGTGCTGGGCCGGGCGTGGCAGCCGCGGTGGCGGTCCCCGGGCCTGCCCTCGCCGCTGTTGAACGTGTGCGTGCGGCGCAGGGCTGCGGCCGGCGGGGCGTGAGGGCCCGGCCTGCGGAGGCTGCCCGTCGGGGGTGGGCTCCAGGGCCGAGGGAGGCCGTCGGCGGCCGAGCTTGGGTCCAAGGGGCCCGTGGGCGCTGACACCACCCGCCGGCGGTCCGGGGTGGCGTGGGGGGTGAGCGGGAAGTCGCCGTGGGAGGCGCGGCCGGGCCGCGCGGCGTAGAGGCGGGCGTCAGGGGCCGGGTCAGCCGGCGCGGGGGGCTGCTCGGGGGCCCGGGCGGGGGCCAGCAGCAGGAGCGAGGACGAGGCGGAGGCGGAGAGCAGGGCGTGGCCGTGGTCCCAGGCGCGCGGGCCCAGGGCGTGCGGGTGCGGGTGCGGCGTGGGCAGGCGCTTCTGGGGCAGCGGCGTCTGCTCGGGCGTGGGCAGCAGCCCCGAGTCCAGGTCGTGGGGGCCGCCCTGCAGCAGCGTGGCCTTGGCCCAGCCGTTCTGCATGAGGGGCGCCAGCAGCGCCTCGGGGGGGCCCCCCGCCCCAGCGGCGCCGCCACCCCGGCCCCCGGCCGCGCGCCACCGTGCCCGGCTCATGTTTTCTGTCTATTTTCAGTCGTCCGGCTGATT